TTTTGTATTTTTAATAGAGATGGGGTTTTCCATGTTGGTCAGGCTGGTCTGGAACTCCTGACCTCAGGTGATCCGCCTGCCTTGGCCTCCCAAAGTGCTGGGATTACAGATAGGTGCCACTGCGCCCATCCTAGCACCAATTTGTAACTCTCTGGGAAATGTCAGTGGAGCAGATGTTGGGTAACCAAAGTTTGACATCAGAATCTGTCATGCTGATCTCTTCCTTTTAGGTAGTTTCTTGATTCCTCTCTTACTCCCTTTGTTAGGAAATAAGGGTGCTCAAAATCTGGCTAATCCAGTGCTTTGATTTCTTCCTTGTCCACCTTTGTTCCCTTTGCCCATTGGAATCTGTGTGTCTGCCACCTTATACCTTGTGACATTTTCCTGGTGAATGCCTCAGGATGAGCAACAAAGGAAAGAAGTGAGAAAGGATTATCCTAGCAATACCACCAGCAGCACCAGCAACAGTGGCAACAGTGGGACCAGTGGAAGCAGCACCATCGGGGAGACAAGCAAGTGAGTGTGGGAGGAAGAAATGGGTTGGCACCTTGGGGAAGGGAAACAGTTTTGTCCATTGGAAAAATAACCAGAATAGGGAGATCGTTTCTGTTAAGAGTGCTGACTTTTAGTAATGGCTCCACTTAGGTCATGAGAATAATGGTGACTTGATTTATTTACCTAGTCTTCACTTTCCAGTGTAGATTTGTGGATTAGTCCTAGCATCAATATACTTAATTTGAATAAAATAGCAAGAGGGGCCAGGCGTAGTGGCTCACACCTGTAATCCCAGCACTTTGGGAGGCCAAGGTGGGTGGATCACCTGAGGTCAGGAGTTCGAGACCAGATTGACCGACATGGTGAAACCCCGTCTCTACTAAAAATACAAAAATTAGCTGGGCGTGGTGGCAGGCGCCTGTAATCCCGGCTACTCAGGAGGCTGAGGTAGGAGAATTGTTTGAACCTAGGAGGCGGAGGTTGTAGAGAGCCGAGATTGCACCATTGCACTCCAGCCTGAGAAACAGCGTGAGACTCTGTCTCAAACAAACAAAAAATGCAAGAGGACCCCTGATTTGGAAACACCAAGTTTTGCTTGGCATTAGGGGGAAAATGGCCTCTTCAGATGCCTGACAGCTTTCAGGGCTGTAAGTTGGTATTGTGCAGTTGCTGTGAACTACTGCTGGATCATCTTCGGGTCTTTGGCCTTTCCATGCTTTCTGTTTCATTCTGGCCTTACTGTAATTCCTTTTCTTTGGCAGCAGTAACGAAACCTTCTCTTTAAGAATTTACACTCCTGACCTGGCGTGGTGCTCACGCATGTAATCCCAGCACTTTGGGAGGCTGAGGCGGTGGATCACTTGATGCCAGGAGTTCAAGATGAGCCTGGCCAACATAGCGAAACCTTGTCTCTACTAAAAATATAAAAAATTAGCTGGGCGTGATGGTACATGCCTGTAATCCCAGCTACTCAGGAGGCTAAGGCAGGAGGATCGCTCGAACCTGGAAGGCAGAGGTTGCAGTGAGCCGAGATTGCACCACTGCACGACAGAGCGAGACTCTTTCTCAAAA